ACTGCACTGAGGATCTGGGTAAACAGCCTTCGAGCCTCGCTCTCCTGTAAGGACCCCAGTTCCAGGATGTGGTGAAACAGATCTCCCTGGGATGCATGCTCCATAACCAAGTAGGTGGTACTTCTTGATTGCACCACATGATACAACTTAATGATGTTCGGATGCTCAACAGACTTCATGATGTTGACTTCATTGGCCACACGGGAGGAGTTCTTCTTCTTCTTCTTCTTTCGAAGAACTTTGACAGCCACACAGGTTAAGGTAGGGACATGGAATGCCAGTTTCACTTCTGAGAAATGGCCCTGGCCCAGGGTCATCATCATCTTATAGTCAGTCATGAAGGCCTCCTCAGTGGAGCAGCAGGCCTCCCTGCCCTGCTCCATGGTTGGTCCTCCGTGATGTGGCTGGAACACAATTCACAAGGGGAAAGTTTAAAGAAAAGGTTCAAATCAGGGCCCAGAAGTTATCGATAGCTACAAGTCCCCATGTCCCAAAGAAAACACTCTCAGAGACATTGCAGAAAACCTAACTCCAATAGGGTTGTCAGGATCAAGTGGAAACTCAGAGAATAAAACAAAGGTCACAGATGCTGAGAGCTGCTCTTAGGCGAGGATCATGATCTTCTTACTGCACCCAACACTCACTTAAAGAGTAGGCTCTAGTAAAACCATAGGAAAGGGCAGTTTCCAAGACCAGACACATTCCAAAACCCACAGAGTCCTGGTGGCAAGATGGCTCTGGAGCACTCATGCAGATAAGGTGCAGCTCCTGACTAGACTGAGATATCATTGTAAAATACTGTCTTGCTTCGTACCCTAGGGCCTGGCACTAAGATCTGTGGAGGATAAAGATGACATCATTCATCCCACGATCTGCATTAGGCCTGAAACATCTCACCAAGGAACAGGATCCCAGAAGACAATGACCTGACATGTTCAAACAGTCAAGAAAACACTTGTCTGCCAGAACCCTGAGACAACACATGTGGGACATTGAGCCATATCCTGGCACCCTATTTCCTTCTTCCCACAAACAAAATGTCTTAGGTTTGTCGCCTACAAACAACAGGAATTGCCTGCTTGCGTATCTGGACATTGGCAAGATAAGATCAAGTACCTGGGGACTGAGTGTGTAACAGGATGCTCTCTAACTCTAATTGGTACTTGTCTGTGTCCCTCCATGATCAATAAAAGCAGAAACTCCCCCCTTCCCAAGGAAGAAGAAATGTAGTATGTCCAGAGAAACAAGACCTCTAAACACAGAATCTATGAACTTAGAAGACAACTCACTGTGTTCTGATTCAACAGTTCACGAATATCCAAGTACAAGTGGTTCACTAATCTCAGTTATCTCCAAACAGCTAACCGCTTCTGCAAGTGCAGACTGGAGTCAGCCTCAGCCAGAGCTGTTAGTGCTCAGGTGTCTGTCATTGTGAAGTCACAGCAAGAAATGGACCAATGATGGCCCAGCACACCTCACTGGTTTTCCTTAGGTTCTGTCACCAAGGACAGGAAGGCCAGTGTGGTCAGTGGGCAGTAGGGGCCTGAGGAGACTGGCTCCACTCACACGGCTGTCCCCAATGCTGCCCAGTGAGCCACTTCTTCCGGTTAAGCCAACTTCCTGAGGTTCAAAATTTCCTCAAATTTGTTTCCCAGTAGAAACCGTGTCCAAGCACTTGATTCTTTGTGGGGCATTGACACTCAAACCTTATCCAGGATGCTTTCCACTTTAGTAATGAAACAAGGAAACCTAAGAATGACAGTGGGCCCCACAGGCTTAGCTCTCTCTTGGTTACAGACTCTGATAGTCTTCAGTTAAAAGGGCCTTGATTTTTATTTATGTTTTTGAACTTGGTCCCTGCCTTCTGTGACCAGTTTGTAATAACTCAGCATTTCTACACCCAAAGTATTCATTTATACCTTCCTCTAAATTCAGATTTCAGGGTCCTAAAGGATGAGTACATTGGGATGTTGTGATGAAATACTGTGTTCCATGGCACCACAGGCTCTGGGGCTAACATCTGTGAGGCATAACGATGACATCATTCCTCACATGGCCCCCAGTAGACCTGAGACTTCCCACCAAAGCCCAAAAGCAGAGATCATGGAGAAATGCTTCTTCCTGGCTGGCTTTCCTTGGCTTACTCAGCCTGAATTCCTTTCTTTGTATCTCTTCCTTCCTTCATTCCTTCAGTTCTTCCTTCCTTTCTTTCTTCTTTTCTTCCTCCCAACCCTTCCTCCTCCCTTCCTTCCTTCCTTCCTTTTTTTCTTTTGTTATTCCTCTATTTTTTCTGTATTTCTCTTTTAACATTTTGTTTATGTTTTATGTAGATAAGTACTTCATATGCACGTATATCTTCTCCCCAGAAGAGGGAATCTGATCCTATTATAGATGAATGGGAACGTCTATTTGTGTGCTGGGATGTGAACTCAGGACCTCTGAGAGCGAGCGCCCAGTGCTCCTAACCATGGAGCCTTCTCTCCAGCCCCTACAGCCTGCTCTCTTATAGAACCCTGGACTGCCTGCCCAGAAGTGGCTCCAGCCACACTGGGTTGTACTCTCCTTTGTCAACCAGGAAATTCCTCCAGAGACATGCTGGAAAGCCAGTCTGATGGGGTCAATTCCTCATTTTGAGGTCTCCTCCTCAGAGGACTCTATTTGGTGTTGACAAAAATAAACCAGGACACAGATGTGGGATTCTGTCAGTTCTCCACTCTTGGCCTTTGAGCCCTTCAGCTTGGTACTGCCAGTTGCTATCCCAGCAGCTCTTAGGCTTGTTTTGTGTGAGAGCCATATGTGGAGGTCGTTTGAAATCATTAAAGGGCCTGGAGAGTGGTCTCATCAGTTAAGATCATCTGCTGCTCTTCCAGAGGACACAAGTTCAAGAGAAGCCTATTACAGCACATGGTTGCTCTGCCAGACAACCTGGGTTCTATTCCCCACACCCACAAGGCTGCTCATAAGTGTCAGTATCTTCATTTCCAGGGGACCCGAAGACCTTTTTTCTGGCCTTCATTGTGCATTTCACACAGTGGTGCTCAACCATACATGAAGGCAAGACACCCATACACATGAAAACAATAAGATGTTTAAAAGAGATTTTTAAAACATGTAATCCTATCTCCAAATGCTTACTTTCATTTTAGGAATTTTTCTTTCCTTTTTCTCTTTTTTTTCCCACTCTGTATTTACAAATGTGTCTGCTCATGTGTGTATGGATAAGGGTGAGAGGCAGGGTGGTTATGAAAGACAGAGGACAATGTGTGTACTTCTGTGTACCCACCTTTAAAATGTGGTCAAAGGGCAGATTCTTTCACTGGCCCACAACAAGTCACCAACTGGGCTATGCTGGCTGGCCAGGGAGTCCCAGGGATCGGTACTGCCTTCCCAGTGTGGGGTTAGGAGAACCACATCACCTCACTTTTATTAACAAGACATAGAAGCTCCATCTATCTCTCTGTCTCTGTTGTTCTCCCTGACTCTCTTTCTCAACAGAGACTGACACACACAGAGACAGACAGACATACAGACAGACACATATGGGTATGAGAGTATGGGTACAGATATCTGAAACAGGGTTTCTCTTGTGGTCTTGGCTGTCCTGAAACTCTCTGTGTTGAATAGTCTCATCCCAAACTCATACATTTGACTGCCTCAGCCTCCTGAGTGCTGATGTTAAAGGCAAGCACCACCATCACTCAGTCACACCCATTTTTTTTTTAGGGTGAGTTTCAGGCATCAATCTAGACAAGGAAAGCCCTTCACTGACTGGGCTATCTCTCCACACACCCCATCCCCTTTTTGTCTCTTTTGAGATTTGTTTTGGGACATGGTCTAATTTACATCACCTGGCCTTGAACACAACTGTGTACTCTAGAAGATCCTCCCATTCCTTGGAAATCAGGTAATAACAAACTCAACAGACTAGTGAAACACTAAGAGGTTTTCAGTGTACAATTCTGCACAAAGGGACTCAAGCATAGAGAAAAGTCATAAATGGCCAAGGTGCTGATTTGGCACAACAGTGCTTTATAAAAACAAATGGAGATACATTCCTGTTCTCTCCTGTAGGCATGTAGGACTTATATCCCCCTAGTTCCACACCTCACTTGCCTAGGAGAAAGACCTTATCCAATATATAATTTTGGATTTGAGACTGCCCCTTATGATTGCCACCTTCCCTAATCTGATTAGGGCTAAATTAGTGAGAATAGCACCTGTAACATTCTGAAGCAAAGAGGTGCTAGCAGACAGCTAGGGAAGAGGCTGTTGGAGCTCCCTGCTTGTCTGTCACTCAGATCAGTTCTAGCTCGTCTCATGCTGAGAATGGAGTGCAACAATCTTTCTTACACTCCTTATCCTTCACCAACTGCTGGTTCTACAAGTGTGTACCACCACACTGGCTTGGGGAATTTTTCTTTACCACTTGACATTATTAATTGGTTTAATACATTCATGACTCGGGTTCATGTGCTAAAGTGTCTTTCCGAAAATCCCGAGGAATCAAGGTGTGTTTTTACTGTTAGATGGGTCATTATCTCATTTAAGAGATGGTTGTGAGCATTAGTCTTTCTCTTTGTTTTCTCCTGGGGGAGCTGTGCTCTTCCAAATAAAGCTTCTGACATCCAGGGTGCAAGGGGACACTAAACTCCACACAGGCAAGGAAGGACTTGAGCCACTGCTGTCACTGATAGTTTCCTGGTATGCCCTGTATGGATGAAGACAACCCACCCTGGTGGAAGAGGCTGGTTCTGGAATGGAGTGGAAATTGAAGGCACATGGTTCCAGGAAGGAGCCGAGCTTGTGGGAGTGGCTCTAGTGGAATCAGCTGCTCTGGGAAGGTGACTGGGATTTCCTATCAGGCCATGCCTCCCTGGCTATTGGTCGTTCTCTACACACATACACTGGTGGATGCTTGCCCGCCCTTCCTCTACCCAATGCCAAGGATAGGCCCCGCCCCGTGTCGGTTTAGTGGCTCTGCCAGCCTCTCAGTTCCAGGCATGGAGGTCGGCAGACTGGGCCGCACTGTGTGCGTGCTGACCGGGGCTTCCCGAGGCTTTGGCCGCGCCCTTGCCCCGCTGCTGGCCCGGCTGCTGTCGCCCGGTTCCGTGCTTCTACTGAGCGCACGCTGTGACTTGGCGCTGCTGCAGCTGGAGGAGGAGCTGGGCGAACAGCATCCTGGTCTGCGAGTGGTGCGGGCAGCCACCGACCTGGGCACCGAGACCGGAGTGCGGCAGCTTTTGCACACTGTGCGCGAGCTTCCGAGGCCCGAGGGGCTGCAGCGCCTGCTGCTCATCAACAATGCAGGTGAGACTCACGGCCAGACCAGGGTTGCGTCCTCTCACTAGTGGGTAGTCCCTAAAGTCCAGACTCCAAGCGGAAACAGGATGTCCCTGCACGGTTAGCCCAGCCTTGCTGTCTAAAGCGCCTGTAGAAATTTCTCCATTGCCTTGAACAGTGCCTCCTGGCGGGAGCGGAAGTCATGACAGCAGGTCTCTGAACAAATCCCCCTGCTTTTCTACTCCCAGTCAGGTGTGTTCTTAGCTTGCGTTAAGGTTGTCTGCATAGCTGGGGTAAATGGGTAAAATGGATATGAGGAGGAACTGCGGAAGGCTGAGGAAAAGAGACCCCCAACTCACCCCCCGCTGCTGTGTCATTTGTTCGGTCCTGTTCTCTCAGGCTCTCTTGGGGATATTTCCAAAGGCTTCCTGAATGTGAATGACCCAGCTGAGGTGAACAACTACTGGGCTCTGAACCTGACCTCCATGCTCTGCTTGACCTCCGGCACCCTGAAGGCCTTCTCAGATAGCCCCGGCCTCAGCAAGACTGTGGTTAACATCTCATCTCTGTGTGCCCTACAGCCCTTCAAGGGCTGGGGGCTGTACTGTGCTGGGAAGGCTGCCCGAGACATGTTGTGCCGGGTCCTAGCTGCTGAGGAACCCAGTGTGAGGGTGCTGAGCTATGCTCCAGGTAGGTGGGTGATACTGCAATTGCTGCCCCGGACATGGCTGGTACCTTTCTGCGGCCTGGGCAAGGGAGGGAGACTGGTCTATATTCTCAGTAATAGAAAGAATAGATTGCACCCTGCCTCGTCTTGCAAGGGAAATACAGACTGCAAAAGTTAGAACAGTCAGGGACAGAGGTACTCAGCATTAGGAGATGCCTGACTAACAGGTGGGACAAAACATCCATACACATAAAAACAAAATTACAACTAAAAAAACAAAAGACTATATTACCTTTGTATGTTTAGCTGTGTTTTTTGTCCCTCAATGGCCACATATTATTCATGTACCCCAACACCTAGCAAAGCTTCATGGATGCTGGCCACAATAATTGTTCAAAGACAAGCAGGCAGACATTGTTGAGTGGTGAGCGTGCCAGGCTGAGCTATGTGGAACCCTGAATGGGGTGGGAAAAGAGTGCTCGCATGAATAAGACAGGGCCCCTGTTCTCATCAAAATTACGGGTATGTGGTCTTCTGTGCCTTGTCTTGTCTGACCAGCCTATTAAGTTGCCACCATGCTGGGGCCTTTCTTCTAGGCTTTGATTTCTGTGGTTAGAGAGTAGCAATATGTGGTGGAATGTGTGAGCAACTCAAGGGTGGGATCCAGTTATCTGTACTGTTTGGAAGAGGTCAGGATCCTGGGAAATGGTCTGTGTACTACTTGAGTGGGCAGGCCAGGATCCAAACTTGTTTCTAAGTTCTTGGTCTGCCTGGGTCTCCTCATAATTAACTGGCACCTGCCCTCCACACACATACATGAGACTGCTTGTTCCAGTTCTCCGGCTCTGAGCTCAGCCTAGACTCATTCAGACAGCAGTGATCACACCTAAACCACAGCTAGGAGGGCAGCTGATTGCAGAGGGGCTCAGAGCTAAGTTAGCTCCCTGGAGGCTGCTTCAGCATCGTGGAGAAACTACTAAGAGGCCTAGGTATCCCCACGGCCTGTAGACAAGCAGGGGCCACTCCAGTAAGAGTGGTCTAACAGGTTTCCAAGGACAGGTAGCAAGCCTGTCCCCAGAGGCGCTCAAGGAGATAAACTGGGCACAGTAGAGAGAGCACTTGAGAGGTGAGAGCAGGAGTTCAAAGTCAGCCCTGGCCACACAGCCCGTGTGGGCGACACGAGACTGAGTTTCAGAGCAAGAGGACATTCTAATGAAGCAAAGTGAGTCTTCTTCCAGCCCAGGATTCCCGATTTTTCTGTCCCTGAACACCATTAAAATTGGGTAGGCTACACAATTCCTTAGCAGGTGGAAGACATTATACAGAAATGCTAGTGAGGTTGAGGGTGTGTGTGTGTGTGTGAGAGAGAGAGAGAGAGAGAGAGAGAGAGAGAGAGAGAGAGAGAGAGAAAGAGAGAGAGAGAAAGAGAGAGAGTTTGCATTTATGTTTATGGGTATTTTGCCTGAATGTGTTATCTGTTCATCACATGCAGTATCTGCAAAGGCCAGAAGAGGGCATCATCTCCCTTGTTACTGGAATTATAGATGATTTGTCAGCTGACATGTTGGTTCTGGGAATCAAACCCTGGTTTTCTGCTAGAACAGCAAGTACTTTTAACAGGGAGGCATCTCCTCTCTCGTCCCCTGCACTCAGCTTTCTACTGGGGATCTGAACTCAGGACCTTGTGCTTGTACAGTGAGTACTTAGCCAACCGAGCCCCCATCCAGGGTTTTGAGGAGCTGTGGGCCAGCAAAGGGCAGCCAGGTGAATTTATCAGAGGGCTGGAGGAGGACTTGAAATAAGAAAGCAAAGTTAAGTCATGGACCTGCTGGAGACCATGCTGACGGTGTCACCTGGTCCCTGGTTGGCTGCAGGTGGAGTAAGACACCTGCAGGGTCCTAGTGTCTATGGATAAAGTGGGAAAGTCAGGAAGAGGTGTCACGTGGATAAGAGATGATGCGCTTGATTGTAAACCACGCTTAATAGACTCCAGCTTTGAGTTCAAAACTCAGTAGTAATGTGAGTGGGCATGGTGGCCCTTGCCTATAATCCTGGTCCTGGAGAAGCTATGGCAGGAGGATTCTGAATTTCAACACAGAAAACAACTGAAAAGAGAAGAAAAGTTAAAAGACAACATAATGGAGCCTTGGGGCAGACCTGACTCAGCTCCACCCTCCACACACAGTGGGAACCTACAACTTCTGTCTCTACCCTGTACTTTCCATCTACTAGGTCCCCTGGACACAGATATGCAGCAGTTGGCTCGAGAAACCTCCAAGGACCCAGAGTTAAGAAACAGACTACAGGAGCTAAAGTCAAAGGGGGAGCTGGTGGATTGTGGGACCTCAGCCCAGAAACTGTTGAACTTGCTTCAAGAGGACGCCTTCCAGTCTGGAGCCCACGTTGACTTCTATGACTGTTAAGACCATGTCCTGCCACAGTGCCCCTCCAACCTGTCCTAACACAAAGATAAGCCCTCAGACACAGCCAGCAAAGAGTGGCTGGCTCTACCGGCCATCGGATGGCTTCTGCAGAGGCTGAGAGGGAGGTGATGGCATTGGAGCTCTCTGTCCCCAGGAAGAGAACTTTAGAGCTGGGAAGAGGAGGAGGAGCTGAAACACTGTTCAGGGGAGGTTGAGTGTCTCGTCTGTGGGGTAAGGAGGGCGGGATCTGGTGCGTGAAGAGGACCGAGGGCATCGCATTACTGTTCCTTGAATTTCCTATGTTTGTTCTGCTGCCTTCTTCCTCTGGTATCCACTGTTTCTCCCTTGACTCTAGTCCAAATGCACGGACAGGTATAAGGCCGTGCAGTCGTGTGGGTCGCCCTTCACGCATGCCTGCTGACCTCCTCTAGAGGGCGCCGGATTCCGTAGCTAGGGTGTCCTGAGCTCTTTTCTGCTGTTACTTCCCAGAGCCTTGCCAGAGAGCTGCCTGCCTCCTGGAGTCCAGGCCCACAGCGTGGTCAGTGTAGGGCCAAAGGCTTCGGGCTGGATCCACGGGGACGCCTATGCCTTTGTCCCGCTTCTGCCTACACTGACCTGCTTTACTGCTGCTCCCTAGGGTCCTAGAGCTAGTCCACTTTACTGCCGCTCCCTAGGGTCCTAGAGCTAGTCCATGAGTATCCACGCCCAGGGCCCAACACAGCAGCAGCCCTCAGCAGTGAGTGCTGGGACTCCCAGTTCTACCCTTGCCCACCTGGCAGTGCTATAAACAGACCCCAGCTCCTGTGATAACTGACCCCTCTTGACCCTGTCCCTGTGGCTCATGGTCTGCTGTGGGGAGATGGACAAGGATCCATGAAGGAAATGCTGAGAGATTCCAACCTTGTGCAACCTACACTTTTGCTGTGAGACTGGTCTGCATCCAGCCTCTAGCCTACCTTTGACCGGGAGCTCAAAGATCCCGAGAATTTAAAAAAGAAATAAAAAGCCTGTGCCCAGCATCTGCAGTGTTAAAAGACCTGGTCCTCCTTGTGCCCAGCAGAGGGCACACTGGGGCTGTGCAGTGTGGAAAGATGGGGGCTGCCCTTCCTGCAGGGTATGTTACAACCATCTCGGGTCCTACAGGATTCCCCAAGGTGAAAGGGGTGACCTCTATCACCTTTCCCTGTGGAGTCTTTACCAGCTCTGCAATGGAAATGGCTGGGTTAGACCTTTTCACCAGCTGGTAACCCACAGCAAGTCATTCTCTTGCCTCCGAAAAGACTGTGTATTGCAAGGCACTTAAATAAAGCACTGCACCCTTCCCAATGGGTCGCCCGGAATGGCCTAGTGCTTGCAAATGTTCGGAACTAAATGCCCCGTGGTTGAGACACACAGACAGACCTCTTTCATTTTTGCTAGCCCAGGAGTTCTGGGAGGAATACCACATGTTTCCACCAGGTGGCAAGACTTTCTCATGTCTTCTGATTACAGAGGCTTTAGAGAATTCTAAGTGGTCTGTCCTCCAGACTCATGGGGACTCAAAGAATTGAGGGAGGTCACAAAAGGCCATCCTAGTGACCCACAACCATCTCTGCCCACAGAGATTTCCCCAGCGTCAGTCAACTCCAGCCCTGGCCTCGGTGTCTCCAGAACGTTCAGACTGGGGATTTTGTGCTGGCCTCCAGGGCCTAGCCATCTGTCTCCTAGAGTTCATAGCCTGGCCTTAGCCTACCCACACAAGAGCACATGTAAGCACACACGTAAATACATGCCTGCACATGCACAGAGTCCAGCTGCCCAGGCTATGGATTAGCCAAAAGACAAACAGGGTTTGTCTTTGTCTTTTTTGTCATTGAGCTGGGTAGTTTTTGTTTCTGTTTAATAGTCTGAGCTAGGGGCCAGCAGCTGCCTCCTGAGGAACTAGGATGGAAAATATACCAGGCTTGCCCCCCACAGAGCTGTGGTATCTCTACCCATGAATGGAACCAGCTGGGGTCAGAGTGGGCAGGAACCTCCCCCATACATATGTCCACATGCCCCACACCAAAGCTGGGGTGGGTGCCTTGTCAGCAAAGCCTGGAGGTGCCAGCTGCCCCTCAACATCTGATTTTGGATCATTTTCCTAGAACATGCCTCATTCCCCTGTGTCCAAGTCTTACTTCAAGGCATGGAGCCTTGGGACTCTGCCTTCTGCCCCCCCCCCTGCAGCTTTCCCCAGAGAACATGGTCTCACATGCTAATGTATGTGCAGAAGTTCTGACTCATGTGGCATGTGTGTGCACACCCCTGTGTGAACATGCCAGGAGGGCCCAGCTGTGCCCTTCACTCAGAATGAGAGAAGTGAGCCTTTCCAGTCGCTGGAGAGGCGGCATCACAGGGTGACATCTCTCCAACATGGATTATATCTCAATGACCTGGTGTGCAAGGGAGATAGTCCTGAGATTAGAAGCCCCAAGATGGCAAACTGGAAAATTAGCAGGAGAACCCCTTAAGCCTTTGCCTGGGGCCGGCTGGAAGAAAAGAGAGGAAACCATCCTTGCCCTGTTCACCTGTCTTCTCTCTATAGCCTGGAGGCAGGGGCAGGTGCTGGGCATCTCTGAGACATAGTAGAGCCCACCCTAGGAGGCCTGAGTCACCTTCCTTCCTAGAAATGCTCATTTGCCCCATAGGAAACAATCTTCAGGCCCTAGTAGCCCTAGCTGGAGTTGGGAGGCCGGGCTTAATTTTTAATGAAGAGGGGGAAAGAGAAATTCCTTTCTTGCTTGTGAGGCAGCCCACATCATAGAACTTCCTCAGCTAAGAAACCTGAAAGCAGTTTAAAGTCCCTCAGGACCCTCCTTCCCCTAAAGCAAAGGAAAAGAGGGGCCTGGCTCCCACTTCCAGACCCAGGACATGCTCTCAAGAGCATCAGAAGTCTCTGGCCCACACTCTGGCTGTTGAGGCCTGTCCGGCTCAGGCTGCTAGGATTGGTGTTTTCCAAACAGCCTGGAGAAGCGATTTCCTATGACTTTTAACTAGTTCCAGCTCACCACAGTCATGCTAGTGGGCCAGGGGACAGCCGAGTGTGAAGCTGGCCAGCTGCCTATGCAGACCAGCTTCAAGGGGATGGCCCCACCCAGCAGCCCTCAAGGACGGCTTCATGCCTTCACCACAAAACATACAGGGCTGCAGTGTATCAGAGTCCCCCAGGAAATAGGTAAACATCACCCTCCCATTGTTCCTCTAACTGTGGGTTTCTGTGTCTTTCTCTGTTCTCCAGAGTATTCAGTAACTAAGGAGGCAGGCCTTCCGAGAAGGGGAAGTTCAAGGAACAGTCCTTCAGGGTCAGGATTGAGGCCAGTCTAAGGCCAGAGTGATCAGTATATACAGCTAAAGTCAGAGTTGCAGGGATGCCAGATTTGGAGGTCAGCAGGCTTGGGGGTTGGGAATGCAAAGATGGACACAAAAAAGGTTGGGAGGAGAGGCCTGCTTTTAAAAGGCCCATTGAGCTGTGAGTGTATGATGAACAGAGTGAGGTGGCTCATTAGGACAGGGACCCAGGCAGGCTGGAGCCCTGCTTTCCAAACTGCCGTAGGACAGCTATGCCAACCACTGCCTGCCCACCCGATGGGAACCCATGCTAATGACGGAACAGAGGAAAACTGGCTGTTTCTCATGTATGTGCATGCGTTATGTGTATGGTATATTCAAGTGATGTGTGCAAATATACACACACACACACACACACACACACACACACACACGAAGGCCACAGGTCCAAGTCAGACATCTTCCTTTCACTTATACTTTGAGGAGTGTTCTCACTGATTGTAAAGCTCACCAGTTAGCTAGACTTCTAGACTGGCGGCCAGAGAGTCCCAGGAGCCTCCTGTCTCCACCTCTCCAGCACTGGAATTACCGATTGTATCACTACACCCAGCTTTTTACAACACTGCTGGGGATCTGAACCCAGGTTGTAATGTTGAGCAGCATTTCCCCAATGAGGCATCTCCTCAGCCTCCAAGACTTGCATGAGACCCAAAAGGGAAGAGGGGCAACATTGGGAAGAGGAAACACCACTTTTTCTCCCTGGAGAATTTGGACACAGAAACCAAAGTGAGAGTCAAAGACTGGAACAGGTGAGCTAAATCATGGTGGAGAAACCCAGAGAGGAAGGCAGTAAGATCCAGAGCTACAGCAAGACAGATTTTTTGATGATGGGAGAAGCCACACATGCATGCTCTTTCACATGTACACACACACACACACACACACACACACACACACACCAGGCATGTGCTCAGGCAGCAGTCCTGAGCCTTGCTGGAAATAAGCCCTTTTCATTTGCGACGCTGGGGCCTCAGCTGCACAGGCGGTGCCGAGCTGCTACCTTGCACATCTGTCAGTTCCAAATGTAGAAGCTGTCAGAGGGGTGTATGTGAGTGTGAGTGTGAGAGTGTGTGAGTGTGTGAGTGTGGGAATGGAGGGGGGGTGACTGGTCCTCCAAGGGATTGAGAGGCCTCAGCAGGCAGGAGATCCCAAAACCCCCTCAGGAGGCTCTCCAGAAATCCATGCCCTAGGATGCAGGTCCTGTGCCTCCCAGGCAGAGACCCAGGAAAGTCTGGTTGGGTCCCTTACAGCCAGGTGGTCCTGAAAACTCACCTGTTGTTCTCTCACGTGGTGAGTGTGCCAGGGGAGGGGTGGTGTCAGGAGGGTCAGGAGGGTGTCAGGCTCCTGACCTTTTTTTTTGTTGTTGTTGTTGTTATTGTTTTGGTTTTTGTTTTGTTTTGTTTTTCTGAGGCAGGCTTTCTCTGTGCAGCTTTGGAGCCTGTCCTGGAACTCACTCTGTAGACCAGGCTGGCCTCAAACTCACAGAGATCCACCTGCCTCTGCCTCCTGAGTGCTGGGATTAAAAGCATGCACCACCACCACCTGGCTCTTTTTGCAATTTTAATATTTACTATTATGGAGTGTGTATGGTGTGTGGAGATGGGGTGTGTATATGGGGGTCAGAGGACCATGTTGTGGAGGTGTTTTTTTTTTTTTTTTTTTTTTTTTTTTTTTTTTTTTCTACACAGGAGTTCTCTGGGTTGAACTCAGGTCCCCAGGCTTCCAGGAGTAGTGCCTTTACCCACTGGGGCTTGTCTTCAGTCGGCTTCCTAGGAGTCCCTCTCCGTGCCCATCTCTGCTTTCTGAGACATGCACAGGCCCATCGGGGACAGAAGGATATTGTCC